ACGAAAAAAACCCCCCCCCCCCCCCCCCGATTGCCATGATGCGTAGGCCTTAGGCAGACCGCAAAGGGGCACATTTCACACGGCGTCCGGAACAAGGCTTATATTTCAGGCCCTCCCCGTACTGCCTCCCCCTCTGTGAGAACTGACCTGGTAAAAGGTGGCGCCATCGCCTTGGGAGAAGTCGGCGTTATCCCAGAACACTGCGACCATTGGTGTTTTCTCCCGGCCACTAAATCCCCCGGGCAGAGGGTTTGGCGATGGGAACAGGTCGCTGTCCGAGGCTGGGAAAACGATTTGTCCATTGTCTGTAAACTAAAGGACGGTATTCCTGAGGCTGGCTCCTTCACAGGAAGGATGAAATCACGCCCGATGCGGCACAGGATGTGTCTACACAGTGATTCGACGCCCGCACGGTTCCCTGTCAGCTGACGTTAGCTCGGCCTGAGGGTCAATCGCTCCCTAGGCTGGGACAGGGATTTGGACTGAAGCAGGGGTGAGAGCTTTACCTGAGGGTGTGGGCTCTTGGATGGGGCTGGGAATAAGGAGTTTGGGATACAGGAGGGGGCTTAAGCTTGAGGTGTAGAGGGGTGGAGGAGAGGATATGGGCTCCAGCTAGGGATGCAGACTCTGAGGTGGGGATAGGGGCGCAGACACAGAACACAAAGGCAGTCCCTGCGGTAGTTTAATTTCTGGCTGCTTCGTTTTAAAACATTTTTTTTTTCTTTCGAAAGTGACTGTGACCTTAATACACCCTCGACACCCCATGAAACTCCCCTGGCTCTGCCACCAGAGACAAAAGCCAAGGGACACTTTTTTTCCAGCCACCACTAGAAATGATTTCTCTTTCTACAAAAATCAGTCCATCTGAGGGGGGAAAACCCAACATTTCTACCCCCCCAGCTAAAATCAAGTGCATGTTCCAAAGCGCTTGGTTCCTTTCTAAAGGACCGGCCCGGCCTGGCTCTAATCAAAGCTTATTCATGTGGACTCACGTATAGAGAATCGCGCAGCGTTTTCCCAAACGGGAAGCCAATCTCGGGTTTGAAGACAGGCGAGTTAAAATCCGCTCTTCTGTCCACGTATTGCTTATCGTTTGCCTTGGCCCCGTATGGATACAGTGGCACAGCTGTGACTAAAAAACACAGTCTTAGAATCCTAGGGCTGGAAGAGACCTCAGAGTCATCAAGTTCAGCCCCCTGCCCAAACCCAACTCAATCAGCCCGGCCAGGGCTTTGTCAAGCCGAGACTTAAACACCTCTAGGGATGGAGATTCCACCCGCTCCGGCGGGAACCATCCCAGCGCTTCCCCACCCATCTAGGGAAATCGTTTTTTCTAATCTCCAACTGCCACCTCCCCCACTGCAATGTGAGACCATTGCCCCTCATTACAAGTAGCTTCCTTAAGTCCGCTAGCTCACGATTTCAAACACCGAAGGGGCTGGATGGATGGCGGTGGATCCCTCGCTTGCCCCCTCCAAAAGACCCGCTTTGGGCAGCAGAAGCAGAGTGGGATCAAGGCAGACTCTTTCGAGCGGAGGATCCGGGGGAGAGGCGCCCCCCGATACTGCTGTGAGTCAGGGCAGCAGGTGTTCCTACACTCTCAGGCTGACAGTGCGGGTCATGTACAACTGGGCAACCTCTCTGATGCCAGAAATCCAAGTATGCCAAGCAGAGGACTTACGTGTTGCTGACTGGCCCGTACCCCTTGCAATAGCCTCTCTGGTCCCAGCTGAAACAGACGCAGTTCTCTCCTGCTCCAGCGCTGCTCTGGTATCGGACCGAAGAGCTGTGGACACAATATCCCACTATTTCAGGGGATAGCTCTGAAGGGAGTTGGCAAGGGGAATCACACACAACTCAGATCCCAGGAGGTTTATTTCACAGGCCGGATTTTCACGGCCCATTTTCACACCTCTGCCACTCGTGCACAGGCACAAATTAGGTGTTTGATGACCTGATACATGGCCAGGTGGTCAGGGGCCTACCTGGCCTCAGCGGCACGCTGTTCATAGACTCATAGACTCATAGACTTTAAGGTCAGAAGGGACCATTATGATAACCTAGTCTGACCCCCTGCACAGTGCAGGCCACAGAATCTCACCCACCCCCTCCTAGAATAATCCTCTCACCTATATCTCAGATATTGAAGCCTTCAAATACTTTGAAGACCCCAAGATGCAGAGAATCCTCCAGCTGTGATCTGTACCCCATGCTACAGAGGAAGGTGAAAAACCTCCAGGGCCTCTGCCACTGTTATTGGTGGCTGCACCAGAAAGAAAAAGGCTGGGTCAGAAATTCAGCAACCATTACTTTGCCCTGCCTTGGGTTGACCTAGGGAGCCCCCCTGCCATGGTGGCCTAGGTGTTAGGCACAATGTAGCACAGCTCAAAGACATACGCACACATTCCGAGGCGCCTATTGCAAGGGGTGAATTCGTCACCTTTAGAAACCGAGGCGTTCACCGAATACCCAAAGTAACCCTTGATAATGGGCCTCGCCACAAAACCAACACGGCTTCCATTGCGGCCGCCATGACACCTTGCCATCCCCACGGCCCCTGTCCCAGCACTGCCCAGGAAAACAGCCCCCCAGTGGGCCCCAAACCAGAGCTTGGGAGACCCAAGACGTACGTACAACCAGCGGATGGGAGTGACCTGAAAAACCCCATCGGGGGACGCTAGCTCTTTGCGTGTGACATACCTGTTGCTCCTAAGAGGGGGAGCGGAGTCTTCACCTGTTGTCCGGAGGGTGCTGAAGTTGTGGCAGCCGACACGTGTGACGCACCAGCTGAACCCCCGGTAGCCTTGGGGAGTCCTGGTGGTGTTAACCCCTTTTCCCCAGGTAGGGAGGGGGAGTTGGGTCCCGGAGCCGAGGGAGTACAAGCGGTGGACAGGTGTAGTATAGTTAGTGGTGGCCTAGTAACTGCCTCCAGGCCTGGTAAGGGGACTCCTGAGTCACTGGCCGAGATGGCTGTTTGTTCTGCCCTCCCAACTGGCCCAGTTCCTGTCCGTGGGGATGGCTCTGGGGCCCCAGAAAATGAAGGGGTTGGAGATCCTTGCTCTGAAGCTGAGGGCCTAGCCACGGTTTCCATGGGAGAGGCCAAGGCAGTTGGGGACGTTGTATTCGCTTGTATTCCTGTTGCTCGCCCATCTCCCAAGGAAGAATCCGGGGAGGTCTCAGCATTGGCCACGGCCCCTGTCTCTCCCGCGGGCAGCTCTGCCACGTTTGCGGGACCCACCTCGGCAGGCGCAGGGGGG